TTGGACGACGTGGCGCGGTGTGAGCCGGCCAGGAACGGAGGGGAAGGGCACCTCACCACGTGGCGCGACTGGCCGGACCGGCGACCGGGCTCGTCCGTCACCCGTGATGTACGGGGTCAGGTCGGGCCGCTGCCCGGTCCGGCCAGTGGCTGGGCAGAAGACAGCGCTGAGAAGAAGCGTCAGGAAGATTTTTTTGGTGTGATGCATTGAATGTTTCCGCAATACCCCTTTGGTATTAAGACGCGATTAAAGTGGACTGGGTACATGTATCATTAAGCACATTGCATAGCCAAAATCGGACCATCGCAACAGTTCAAGTAAGACAACAAACAAAACGTACGTAAACCATCTCATCAGCTACATTACTTCGCATGACTTGTGATGTTAAAACCAGTTTACGGTTGAAGCTACAGAGTCCCTGTTACAATAGGTGTCCATCTATCTTTGACCTGCTCTATCGTATCACCCCAAAATGTATCACGCTTCTCAACATCAAACGCCCCTCGAAGACCTTCTCTCGAACCATCGATGTCGATACTCTTGTCGGGTAGTTTGTGACTGATATTTAAACTTTCTAGCGCAATTACCGTATAGAATCACTAAGCAAACAGCATTTCGCCCATGAGTGAACTGAACAAAAAAAAATGATAGCATTGGAATGAGAGTAAACATTGACAAACACATTGAGATCGTTAACAAAAATTGCACTATCAGAAAAGAAGGAACGGAAAAACGACTAATAATGAACAACTGCGAGCGCTTATGGGTAGAGGATGCCAAGCTCGGCTCTGTTGCCTGAGAGACACACGGTGAAGATTGGTCCCGGCTCAGTGGCGACAGCATGACCGACGATAAAGAGGGCCGGCAGATCAGCTCTGCCACCTCCCCGCTCTCTGCCAGCCCGTCACCGTGCCGTCTGAGAGGTCCGGCGGACCAGCTTCTCTACCTCCCCGCTCTCTGCCAGCCCGTCACCGTGCCGTCTGAGAGGGCAGACAGACCAGCTCCTCTACCTCCCCGCTCTCTGCCAGCCTGTCACCGTGCCGTCTGAGAGGGCAGACAGACCAGCTCCTCACCTCCCCGCTCTCTGCCAGCCCGTCACCGTGCCGTCTGAGAGGTCCAGGCGGACCAGCTCTGCCACCTCCCCGCTCTCTGCCAGCCCGTCACCGTGCCGTCTGAGAGGTCCGGCGGACCAGCTCTGCCACCTCCCCGCTCTCTGCCAGCCCGTCACCGTGCCGTCTGAGAGGTCCGGCGGACCAGCTCTGCCACCTCCCCGCTCTCTGCCAGCCTGTCACCGTGCCGTCTGAGAGGGCAGACAGACCAGCTCTGCCACCTCCCCGCTCTCTGCCAGCCTGTCACCGTGCCGTCTGAGAGGGCAGACAGACCAGCTCCTCTACCTCCCCGCTCTCTGCCAGCCTGTCACCGTGCCGCCTGAGAGGGCAGACAGATCAGCTCTGCCACCTCCCCGCCCTCTGCCAGCCCGTCACCGTGCCGTCTGAGAGGTCCGGCAGACCAGCTCTGCCACCTCCCCGCTCTCTGCGAGCCTGTCACCGTGCCGTCTGAGGGGCAGACAGACCAGCTCCTTACCTCCCCGCTCTCTGCCAGCCCGTCACCGTGCCGTCTGAGAGGGCAGACAGACCAGCTCCTCTACCTCCCCGCTCTCTGCCAGCCCGTCACCGTGCCGTCTGAGAGGGCAGACAGACCAGCTCCTCTACCTCCCCGCTCTCTGCCAGCCCGTCACCGTGCCGTCTGAGAGGGCAGACAGACCAGCTCTGCCACCTCCCCGCTCTCTGCCAGCCCGTCACCGTGCCGTCTGAGAGGGCAGACAGACCAGCTCTGCCACCTCCCCGCTCTCTGCCAGCCCGTCACCGTGCCGTCCGGGGGAGGGGGGGGGGGGCAGCGGGGCGCTAGAGGCAGCTGATTCCACCAGGCTTACCGGACCGGACGTGCGCCGGACCCTAACCACGGACCTCACACTGCCGAACGCGGCACTGAAATCCCGTCCATGTTTCTGGGAAGGGGCTCTGATGGGCCTTCAAGGTGACCTTCAAGACAGCTATTGCACTGCATGCCGCTCGTGTTTCCCCTGCACTGATAATGCCGCTCTGTGTTCCCCCTGCACTGATCATGCCGCTCTGTGTTCCCCCTGCACTGATCATGCCGCTCTGTGTTCCCCCTGCACTGATAGGCTGATCCGATCTGAGCCTGTCGGCTCAAAGACTGCTGGCAGACGCGATCAGCCGGTGAGCCTCTGAATGAACGCCAGCCAACACGCCCCGAGTGCTGTGTAACTGCGCGGGCGATGATGCCGCTGCAATTGGGCGGCGGAGAGCCCGTGTGTGTCAACTGTTGGCAAGCTACCGCTTTTTGAGACCTCGCGATGCTGAGAATCCGGTAAAAAAACAAACAGGTCCTGGAAACGGGGCCGAAGTGACTGCGCTTGACTTTGCGTTGTCATCCAGATGTCGCCCCCTGATGGGCGACACGGACGACATCTACAGATGGCGCTGCGCAACAGGTCGTTTGCTGGTCCCCCGTCGGTATTGCTGTGTGGATGCTCGTGTTGCTAGGCATGAAACAATCTATGGGAGTTCGTTCAGCTACGGAAATGTCTTGCTTGAATGACCCAACGACATGGATAGGCTTTTAAAAGGTCTTATTTGCGAGGAGGTGAACTTGAGGCCGGACAGCCGACTGAAATAATCCAACATGCGGATCGTAACGAAAGACTAGCACCAGCGGGGTTTGCAGGGGATCCGCTATACCAATATCGACTCAAGGCCACAAGCTCGTCGGATGACCGTGCTTGTTATACCGCGTATGTTGGAGCAAACGTAGTCCTTGCTAGCTTTCTCATGTTGCGGCTTCGGTCAGGAGGCGTTTTTTTATTTAGGTTGTTTCGTTTAGGGGCTTCTCGTTTCGTTTGCCGCAGCTAGCTTTCAGTGGCCCGGGCTGCTCAGTTCTCGTTTGCCACAATCGACGGCAAGAGTAAGGAAGAGAATGCAGTTGGGCTTCGACACTGACTGGGACTCCCCCAGGCCCGTCCAAATCGGACGATACTGGACGACGACCTAGACAACATACCTAGTCCCCAAGGCGTCTACATTAATGTGCCTTGGGCAGATGCGTCTCAATTATAAAAAACTTTCACTGATTGCCTGAAAGTTACGGTGGCAACCGCCATACAAAGCAGGCGAAAGGAGACACTGAGACAGCCTCAAGCGCACCAAATCAAAATCTCCCCTCAGCCTATCTACATACCCTTTGTTCTGTCTGCCCGCTCAAGTCCACCCGACCCTGAACGGGTTGGCAGAGCAAACTCCCCGCGAGCCTTCTCGCAACCCCTCCGACAGATGGATTCGTCAACTGTAAGATGACCGTCGGGAACTGCTTTGAGAAAAACACCTGTACCTTCGTGCGTGTGAAGTTAGCAACACTTCGGTGTTCATTTCTAGCAGAAACCGGAAAACCCCTCGATGCTGTTGAGACTTGTATCAACGGAGGCTCGCAGCGGTCTGACTCGTCGCCCAAAGCAGATCAGGGAGCAGCAAGCGGTCACGCCCCCAGGGTTAAACGAGGCCGACCGACACATGTCAACATTGACACGTGCTGTTACTTACCTGATCAGAAATGCTATGTGAATTCCAGAAATGTCCTTAATGTGGTCTTAGAACGAATAAACAAAAGAATCTGATCGGCTTTCTGCTCAGTTTCACTCATGCGCCGCTATACCCATATGCTTTACGCATTGGCCTGAAACACATTATGGCATGGAAGATCCGGAATTCTATACAGAAACCAAGAAACGCTGAAAATCACAAACCATTCAATTCACATCAATCGCTACAGGTGTAAACCACACCAAGATTACGTCGAAAACTCCGGCGTTGTGCCGCCACCGAAAGCTGTGACCTGAGGTCACCAAATCAAAATCCATATTGCACATCGCCTTGAAGATAGGACGATACCATATTATCCCAGGCCAGCAAGATAAATTGGTGCATTGGAACCAGTCTCAACCTATCTTAACTGGCGAATGACTGACCCAGGGACTTGTCAGGGACTTGTCTCGTCAGGTCAAGCGATGACCTTGAACGAGTAAGTACAAGGGACATGTTTCTGGACAGTGGGAAAACGCGAGCCAAGCGGCGTCAACGACGTCATCGGATGGAGACTAGTTCTGGAGCTTTAATCAAATGGGCACTGAGCTAATCAGTCCTTGACCAAACGTCGCTGCCCATTGGCTGCAAGCAAACGTCTTATGGCTTTGGAAATGCCGAACCCCCAGAGGTCCTATAACATCGTTACACGTTAAGGGTATGCGAGATTGCGTCGACAAAGCATGAGTTTTATTAGGTCATCGAAAGCCTGATGGGTTTTCCCTAGTTGACTATTCTTTTTGTTGTCGACAACAAAATGAAGCATAATGACTCTGAAGAATGGCAAAAATACATACGAAAGCTGCTCTTTGGTTATATCTTCCGCTCGGGCCCGCTGCTGGTAACATCAGCTCATTGGAGGAACTCGTATCACGGTACGCCCCACACCCAATCACCACCCGGGCTTAAACACCGGCCGGTCCAGGTTCTTTCGGCTCATTTATTAGGTGTTGGGAAAAGCAACATTTAGTCGACACCAGTACTTCCACGTTAATATTTTACAGTCAGCGTTTGGAATAGATGACGATAAAACAGCTAATGTACAAAACAAAACGCAATAAAAAAGAATGCATCAGACATTAGTAAAGCTAGTTATATACAACACGACCCGACAGTCGCAAATTAGTTCTTATGCGTTTCATAATTGTCTCTGGCTAACACGCCACGGGACGGCCGGGCGGGCCACATCACACGCGCACAAGCAGCATTTTATCACGATTAGTCCGCGCCGGGAACGGCCGCGCGACGGCCGACGGCGCCACATCCAATAGGAACGCCGCCACAGCTTGGCCGCCGTGCCCACAGATGGCAGCACGAGTATTAGTCCTAGCTGCCGGCCCTCGCGGCCGTCCGAGCGCCAGCTGACCAAGCCACTTGCTATATCACATCCACGGGTCTAGAGCTAGCTGAGACGTTGGCGGACGCGAGAGCGGAATGTGTGCGGGGGGAAGGGGGGTGGGGGGACGCGCCGGTCGGTCGGCCGTTACGTCACGAGGGTCATGTCCTTCTTGCTGGGCAGACTGGGCCGTTTGCCCTGCCACAGCGCGTCGTGGATGGTGAAGGCGTCGATCGTCACCGACAGGTGCTTGGTGTGGATCTGGCTGAAGCATTTGCCGCCGGAGTTGTATCTGCGGCACACGCAGGCCAAACAGTGTTGTCAGCCTGGATGGACAGAGTGCACACATTCACTTCACGACAACGCTCACCGAGGCACAGCTCTCTGTCAGGCTGTCTATATCTTCTACACACCACGTACGGTTCACATGCGGGTCAGGCTCTCTCCAGTATGGTATGTGAGCATGCCAGGCCAGCGATACTCACTTGAAGAACTTGTCGAACATTTTGTCGGTGGCCATCTTGGGTCCGGTGCCGTATAGCTTGACCACCTCGTCCGTCTCGGGCTCGTACCTGCGGCACCAGTCAGCGGCCACTCAGCACGGCGACCCCCCGCTCATCCGGGGCCGTCGAGCCGGCCGTGCGCCCGTCGCACCCGTCAGCGGCGCACGCACACGAGCGACAGTCAGCGGCGCAGCACACGAGCGACAGCCAGAGGCGCACGCACACGAGCGACTGTCAGCGGCGCAGCACACGCAGAGGACTGCGCGGCGCCGCGTCCCCGTCGGGACGGCGGCGCCGCGCGCCGGCCACAGACCCCAGACACTGACCAGTAGAGGGCGCGGAACTGGCAGCGGGCGTCCCGGAACAGGATGAGGAAGTGGCGCGCCTCGACGCGCGCTATCTCCTCCAGCACGCGCTGCTTGGCCTCCCGGTTGACGGCGCCCGGGAACACGCAGTACTCGACGGCGTTCAGCAGGATCGACCGGTTCGACTTGGTGGTCGGCTGCTTGAAGAGGCGTGGCCCTGAAGGAGTGCGAAGATCTGGCGTCAGAGCGGGTCACCAGAGGGCGCGGCAGTCTCATCTCACACACGTCACTTCATAACACGGCTGACCCACGCTCAGGGGATTACACCCAGGCCGTTGCAAGCACGTGATACAAGTTCACGCTTGCGTCCACCGCTGTACTTGTTCAGACCTGGGTGTCTCCTGGGGTATGATAATTGCTGGATAAACAGCTTCAGCGCGCTGCTATCGCTGCCGCGCCTGGAGCTGACCAGCAGCAGAGCAGCCGCAGATCGCCGGGAGACCAGCCGTGCGTCAGCGGCAGCCTCGCGCCCGCGCGCCGCCAGACCTCACCGTTGTAGTCGTAGCTGGCCATGGACGAGGTGTCGCTGGCGGCGTCGTCTCCGTAGTTGCGTCGCCGCGACACCAGGCCGGGCGGCAGGGAGCCGGGACCGGACGGCGACGTCACGCCGCGCGAGTACGCTGTCCGACACACAGAGGCGCGCGTCACTCCACGGACCCGTCGCCCGGCAGGCCCCTCACTCGGCCCCGGCGCATCCCGGCGCGGCCGTTCGACAGTCGGCGGCGCCACGACAGAGGCGGCTCGGCCGACCCCGAGAGATCGCCCGCTACAGACACCGCGCTCTGGTGACACGCTGAGTCGGCCACAACATCTGGCGTCATGCAGAGCCGTCACATGGCCCGCTCCTGGCGCGGCGCCGAGCTGACGCCGGCGTCGGCCGTGGCTCACCTCCGGGCGAGACGCCGCGGCGCGTGGGCGTGTCCCGGCCCAGGCCCGAGTCCGTCTCCGAGTAGCGCGGCGTGCCGCCGCCGGTGCCTGTCGACACAGGCCCGCCTGAGGTCAGGTCAGTTCGGTTTTGGTGATGGCACCTCCGCGGCGGCACGGCCGGCCTCCGCAGTCGCCTCGGCCGGATCAGAGCTCGGCCACACACCCTTCCAACTCTCGACTCTCGACCGCCCACGCCACCGCTGGCACGCGGCGGGAGGAGCAGCATGCCTGCCCGCCCAGCGGCGGCAGGCGGCTGCCCGCCAAGACTGCAGCAGACACGGCAAGCAACCAACACAACATGTCAACACGGCGGCGTCACGTCCGCGCCGCGCATCGCCGCCAGGCGGCTGACGCGCTCACGCTTCACACGCGCCGCTGCAGGGCTTCTGCCTGCGCGCTACGTCTAAGGTTAGCGGAAACTCGCAGTGTTATTGGGTAAACACAAGCTCCCAGCCGTACTGGCCGCCGCTGAGCCACCAGCGGGTTTACGCGCGAGATGACGGAACCAGCGCACACAATCTGAACGCTGCTAGCGACGCAGAGTGCCACACATTTACCACGCACCAGCAGCGTTAACGGCTTCACGCGCAGCCACCGACATCACACGCGCTCACAAGCGACTCGTGGCACTCGGTGGCCACCACACAAGGCGAAGCGCTGACGGTGAACAGGCACGCACTCCACCCGGTTAACTGGCGACGAACGCTAGTAGGTTAACAGGCGACTAAACAGACACCACTACAGGGTCACCAAGCAGCCTCCCAACGCGCGCGAGTCCAGCGACTACAGAGCCGCCACACACGGCCGTCCCTGCGACTACAGACCGAAACCTCTGTTAGACAGTCGAGCGGGGGTTACCACAGAGCGGGGCGGCCGGCGCGCCGCGTCCTTGGCGCGCGCGCGGTTAGAGAGGGCGCCGGACGGCTCACCAAACAGGTTGGTCAGGGACTGGTGATGGCGGCGGCCGCCGACGCCGGCCGCCTTCGAGTAGGTACGGTTGACATCGCCGCTGAGGCTGGGCCGCTGGCCGCCGGCGGCGCCGGCGCGCTCCGCGGCCGCTACACGCACGCGCCCCAGTCAGACACGCGGCGCGCGCCCGCAGCGCCAGCCCGGCCACACGGACAGACGACAGCTGACCGGGCAGGGACGCGCCACCCCGCAGCACAGCACAGGGACGCCGACACAGCGGCGGCGACTCATCACAGCGGCGGTGGGACGGACACGGCCTCGGCCGCACCAGCGCCCAGCTGGCCGCCCACCGCAGCTCGCTGACGCCAGGACTCAGGACCGCCCTGCCTGTGTCAGCAGCCTCTCCTCTCGCCGAGCGGCCGGCCACCGGGCCGACGCTCAGATCAGGTCGCCACAGGTGTCAGCTGTTCACCGCTAAGACACGTAGCTGAATCATGTCGCCAACAAAATTCGCACCTCTTCCTACCAGCCCCGCTCCACAACACCCCGCTGTTCAGCAGAGATTGATTACCAAATGGGCCCACCGCCGAGCGGCCACACCGTCGCTGACAGGTCTCGGGGAGGAGCGTGGCCGGGGCGGTCCGCTCCAGTGACCGGGGGGCAGGAGCGTGGCCCAGGGCGGCCCGCTCCAGTGGCCGGGCTCCACTCACCTGACGGTCGTCGGCCCGAGTGGGCGAACTGGGTTCTCCGGTAGCCGCCCGAATCTGGGCCAGACACGAGCAGGTCAGAGACAGCAGGCGGCGCGACAGAGAGCGGCGGCGGCGGCGGCGCAGGCGGAGCAGCGTGCGCAGACACAACGAGACACGGGCCGGGCCCGGCGGCAGCGCACAGCTACACAGACAGAGACAGAACGGCGCCAGCACGGCCGACTACACAGACCAGGCGCGCACGTCACGCCCGACCCAGGCGGCCCGCTCAGGCTGCCGCCGCTGCCGACATGGCGCGCCGATTCAGGGGCGGCACGGGCGGTCGGTCGCACCGGTGAGCACAGCCTACGGGGAGGGGGGGGGGGGGGAGGCGCGCGTGCTGCCGGCGGACCGGAGCGGGCGTCGCCGCCACCTGTGTCGGCGGCGGGCGCCGAGCGCCGGCACCCCGTCAGCCGCCTCTTGGCGCGGTGGGGAAAGTGCACGTCAACTAGCGCCATCCTGACCGATCCGACGTCAGGTGCCGTGCCAGACACGGCCGAGGCCAGCAGCCGAGCACAGCGTACGGGCGCTGGCCGCGCCGGCCCGGGCCGGCGCGCCACTCACCGTCATCGTACAGCGAGCTGGAGCTGCCAGTGCGGGGCCCCATGCGCGAGCGGGGCCGGCCGGCCGTGCCGCTCAAGCTGCCCGTCGACGTGCGGTGGCCGTCCTTGCGCATGCCGCCGCCGTCTGCGCGTGCCGAGGCGGTGCAAGTGAAGCGACGCGGTGCGGCCGTGCCGACAACTACAGCTACGGCCGGCCGCCGCCGCCGCCGCAGACGGGCGACGGCCGACCACAACCAACGCGACGGCTACGCTCTCTGCGCTACTGGGGCGGCAGCGGATCGCGCACAGCGCGGGCCGCGGCCGACGCCCGGCTGGCGGCTCTAACAGCAGGCAGGCGCGGCCGCGCGCCACCCACGGCCAATGAGATACGCGCCCGAGGGCCCAAGCAGACATGGCGTCCAGAAGCGCGTGCGAGCTCGACAGACATTCCAGGACAGCGGCGAGCACAGGGACACGGAGCGCGGGCGCGGGAGAGAGAGTGAGAGAGTGAGAGGCGGCCGGAGCCGGCAGACAGACGTACCGTTGGAGACCTTGCGTCCCGAGTGGCCCGCCACCGGTCTCGAGTACCTCGGCTCTGCAACCGCAGATGAGAGAGAGCGGCGTCAGGCCACGGGCCGCGCGCTGGTGGCGGACGAGCGGGCAGTGCACAGTGCGATCGTGGCCGGCGGGCGGGCGGGTGGCGGCAGTGCGCGGGGCGCGTGCGACAGTACTCACCGTACAGACTGGCGTTGGAGCCCCGCCGCGAGCCGGCCGCCGCCGCCAGGCTGGAGGACGAGCCCCACTGCTCGCTGCCCTCCCGGCCCTTGTCTAGAAACAGAGAGGCCGGGCGACATGCGTTCAGGCGTCTGCCATGCGAGCGTTCAGGGCACACGCAGCACGGCACAGCACGGCGCAGCACGACCAGGCAGCCAGGGCACGCCAAACAAAACGAAACAGGACGGACGGCGGCGGCGGCGGTGGCGGTGGTTGCGGCGCAGAGCAACTGAAAGAGCGAACATGCGTCCGGCAGGAGCGCTGGCATGCGATGGCGGCGGAGCGAGCCGCCAGATGGTGTCCGCGACCCGAGCAGCACTACCTGAAAACGCTACAGCCCCGAGACGACTGACCAGACAGGCGGAGACCGGTGCAGGCGGAGGCGAGACGAGAGCGGCGTGGTGGCGCGCAGTGGTGAAGTGGTGAAGGCGGGGGGATGGGAGGCGTTCAGATTGGGGGACGGAGCACCGGCCACCATGGTGCGTGCCGTGATCACTGCAGGCCGTGTGGTGTCGGCCGGCCCACCCCCGGCCCCGTGCCAGCGGTGCGAGGCAGCGGCAGCGGCAGCAGCAGCAGCAGCAGCGGGGGCGGCGGCGGTCGTCACCGCCCGCCCGCCCGGCTGGCTGGCTGGCTGGCTGCTGGCTGGCTGGCTGGCGGACTGAGAGGCCGACACTGACCGGGGTACATGAGCTGCTCGGGAGTCTGCAGGCGGCGGCTCAGCGACTTGGAGCGCGTCGACACGGCTATGTTAGAGCGCCGCCGCCGGCTCAGGCTGCGGTGCCGCACCAGCGAGCTGCCCAGCGCCGCCTCAGCCGCCGGCTCCACCTCTTCGCATGCGCCGCAGGCCGAGGGTTAGACGGCGCAAGGACACAAGCACAGGCGGCAGGCGGCTCCGGCCGAGGCGAGGCAGTTAGAGCCGGGTCACATCAGGACGCAGGCGACAGGGAAGACCAAGGACGGCGCCGGCGGCCATCCGGCTCCATGCTCGGCCACCGAACGGAAAGCGCCGACCACGCCTGAGGGCACAGACGGCTGACCCGGCTCATCTCCGGCGGCTCACACGTCCACTGACCTGACATGGCCTGCAGGTTGGAGCTGCTGCCGCGGCCGCCTCGGCTCGGCGTCATCGGACCGCCGTCCATCATCGACTTGGGCCGTGGCTTGCTGGGCGTCGACTTGGGCCGGGGCCGCACGGCCGGCTTGCTGGGCATCGGAGGCGGCGCCGTCTGCCGGACCACGGCCGGTGTTCAGCGACCCCACCCGAACCCGGCGGCAGACGGCGCCGACCGCACCACACCCGTCCGACAGCGGCCGACAGCAGCACCGGCGCCACGCTGCCCGCCGCGCAGCACCGGCACGCGGCCGGTGCTTCCCCCGCCGAGCGCGTGCCGTGTCGGGCCACGCCCTACTCACCCCGTTCTTCTCCGCCTCCTCTCGGGCCTTCTTCAGCTTGTACTGCTCGAAGATGCGCTCCTTCTTAGCCTTCTCCTCCTCCTTCTTGCGTTGCTTCTCCTCCTCCTTGCGCGCCTCGTCCTCCTTCCTCGCCAGAGCTTCCTCCTCCTTGCGGCGCCGCGCCGCCTCCGCATCCTGTTTCCTCTTCAGCGACATCATGAGAATGCGCTCTTTCTTCCGCTCCATCTCGTCCATGGCCTCCTGCACAGGGAACAGACAATCAGTGGTGGACACAGACGGCCAGAAGGGACGCAGGCCGACGGATGGGCAGCAGTGGTCACGGGCCGCAGTGCGCCCAGCGCCGGCGCTCGGGCAGCAGCGCGGCGCGTCTCTGGCGGCGGCGGCACCACTCACCGACTGCGGGCTGACCAGCTGGTCGCCGATCACGAGGCCGACGCCGGCCGAGCTCTGGCTGGGCGGCCGCAGCGGGCGCATCGTCTCCGGCGGCAGGTTCGGGTCCACCTCCAGCTGCCGAGCGACACACACGGCCCGGCTCAGCCCGAATCTCGCGCGCACACACACACACACACACACGCACACACACACACACACATGCGCACAATCACGTCTTCGCACCGGTCTGACGCATGCGGCGCAGCCTCGTAAGCGTGGACGGCACCAACAGTGATATCAGCAGCAGTGCGCGTGCAAACTGCCAGCAGACCTGGCGACATCCATGCCCTCTATCCAGACGGCGCACTCAGAGCTCGCTGAGCGCGGCCGGGCGAAGCGCGGAGCGGACCGCTGCGTCAGGCGCACTCCGGCCCCGGCGCACCTTCTCCAGGAGGGGCCGGCTGGCTGGCGAGCCGGCGCCGTCCGGCTGGTCGGGCTCGGCGGGCGCCGTGCGGCGGCGCGGGTCCGACAGCCGGCCCAGCGACAGGCCGCCGCCCGCCGGTGACTCCTCCCGCTCCGGACTCGACTCCGGCTCCGGACTCGGCTCCGGCTCCGGCTCTGGGCTCGGCGCGGGCGGCTCGGCGCGGGCCGCCCGCGGCCACTTGGTGTACGTGGAGAAGGCCGATGGGGCGCCCGACGCCGCACCGCCGCCGCCGTCGCCGCCCAGCGAGAAGGCCGACGGCTTCGGTTTGGGCTGCAGGCGGGTGGGCGCGTCAAAGCGGTGCGGACGGTGACACGGACGCGTGCGGCACACGAGCAGGCAAACGTGCGAGCGTGACAACATGGCGCAAGGCACGTGCTCCGCAACTGACAACCAAAGCAGGCGACCGGTCAGAGCCGGCGGGCGCCGCGACGCGGCGCGGCCGGCGCAGAGCGCACCGAGGGCGGCGGCGGCGGGCGCCGCTCGGCCACGTACCGGGATGGCAGGCCGCGGCTTGTCCACCAGGCCGCCGGAGCTGGCCGTCTTCGCCGGCGTCCGGCGGGCGCCCAGGCGCGGCTTCGGCTTCCGCGGACCGGCGTCGTCGTCAAACGATATCACAAATCCTGCCGCCCAGACCGGCCCGTCACGCGCTGGCCGCGGCGCGTCCCCACGCACAGCACAGCCGCGCGTGCCACGCTGAGGGTCGCTGTTCCGCTTAACACGAACAATGCGGCTTACCAGAACAACTTTAAAACACGACTCAGCTTCTTTCCCATCGCCTTTCCCGTATCTCGCCATCACACATACCGGCATCAAACAGAGATGGTCATGAGCGGAGCTACCAGACGTCCACACCATGACTACGGACGTCTGGTAGCTCCGCTCATCAGCTGATCGGCCCGGCCTGCATCCGACAGCGTGGGAGCGGCGAGGCGGGGCGGGGTGGTAGCAGTGGGCAGGGCAGGGCAGGGCAGGGCGGGATAGGGCGCGCCGCCACTCACCAAGCTCTGGGTCGGCGCTGTCGCGGATCTTGTCGACCTTCATGGCAGCCAGCACCTCTGGCGACGGCTCGTCCTGTTCCTTCTCCGGCGGAGGCGGCGGCTGCTGCTGCTGGCCGCGCGCCGCCGCCAGCGGCGACTGACTGCCGGCGCGGCGCGCCGCCCACGACGGGCTCTGCGGGCTGGGCGAGCGGTGCACCTTGAACGTCTTGCCGGCAGAGGGCGCGCGCGACACCACCCGCGGCGGCGACGGCTCGTGCCGCTCGGCCGGCTCGGCCGGGGAGCGCCGCGGCAGGCGGTAGGTGCGGCCGCCGGCGGTCGGCTCCGGCTCCGGCCGCCGGCGCCGTTCCTCCTCCTCCTCCTGCTGCTGCTGGTCGCCGATGAAGGAGACGTTCTGTGGCGCCATGTCGTCGATGGGCGGCGCCGGCAGCGGCGCGTGCAGGACGGCGGCGCGCGGCGAGGGCGAGCGGCGCCGCGGCGTGCTGCGGCGCACCGTCGGCACGCGCGGCGAGCCCTGCTCCTCGCGGCCGTACTGAAAGTCGCCGTACATGCGCGGACTCTGGCCGGCGCGCAGCTCGCGCGGCTCCTGGCCGCCGCCGCCGCACCGCCGCCGCCCGCGCCGTGCAGACGGAAGCCACCGCCAGGCGCGGCCGCGGCCGGTGGCGGCGGCGCCGGCGGGTACGCCGCGTAGTCCGGGTGGTAGCCGCCGGGCGGCGCCATCGGGCCGGGCATGCCTTGCGGCGCCATCATGCCGCCGTCTGTCGCCGGGAGACGGGGCGGTCAGCGGCCATGGGGTCAGAGGCCCGAGGTCAGGGGCCAGGGGTCAGGCGGACACACAGTGCGCGGGCGCAGCGGCGACATCACGACAGCGGCAGCACCTGGTGCGGAGCCCCAACCGGACCGCAGGTCCGGCACAGCCACCGACTCACCGCGTCATCGCACCATCTACAGAATCCAGAGCCGCAGCAACCTGCACTGAAGCGAAGCACTATCCACCGCACACGGCATCAGCCTGGGCAGAACATACGCAGAGCTACGCCGTTGTATCGTACAGCTCGTACAACGCGCGCCGAACACCCGTGATGCGCATTGTGGCTCTGTCGAGCTCCGTCCGTCGCGAAACAGCTCTTTTTCCGTTAACAGGTCAACAGAGCAGTCCCTTCCGGGCGCGTCCTTTCAAACGCGAGTACCCTCCCTTGCGAGAGAGGGAGACAGACAGCTAGTGGGAGGGAGGGAGGACAACCGTGGGGCGACTGACCGAGTCGGTGGTGCTGCGGTGAGTGGTAGGTGGTGGGAGAGAGGGAGGACAACCGTGGGGGCGACTGACCGAGTCGGTGGTGCTGCGGTGAGTGGTAGGTGGTGGGAGGGAGGGAGGACAGCCGCGGGGCGACTGACCGGGTCGGTGGTGCCGCGGCGAGTGGTAGGTGGTGGGAGGGAGGGAGGACAGCCGCGGGGCGACTGACCGAGTCGGTGGTGCTGCGGTGAGTGGTAGGCGGTGAGAGAGAGGGAGGACAGCCGCGGGGCGACTGACCGAGTCGGTGGTGCTGCGGTGAGTGGTAGGCGCCCGGGTAGCCCGGCTGCTCGTGGTGCAGCAGGAACGGCCGCTGCGGCTGGTAGTAAGGGTCGGCCGGCGGCGCGCCGTACTGCTGCTGCATCGGCATCATGGGCCTGCCGAGCGGCGGCGAACGCCAGGGTTCAGACGGCGGCCGACGACACGAGCGGGGCCGGCTGATCACAACCGCACACAGCTCCAACCCTCGCACACAGCTCCCACCTTCCCACACCCACACCCCCCGGTGGCGGCCCGGCGTTGAGCGCGCCTCCGAGCGAGCCCTGCGGCAGTGTGTGCTGACACCAGACGCGTCACCGCCGTGCGATGCTGCCGCCGTGCGGAGGCCGACTCGATCGCGGCGCAGCACAACCGCCTGCCAGACACCATCGGACCGCCCGGCCGGTCCACAGCGCTGCAGCAGCAGCCTTCTGTCGGCGGGTCGGGCGCCTCGCCATGGACCACGCGTACCCGCGGTGTGCTCACCTGACGGGCTGGCCCCAGCGGGCTCGGCTGGGGGACATGTGCTGGTACACGTCGTCGGGCGCCATGGGCTGTCCCCACTGGCGGCGCTGACCGGCCTGGTCGTGCAGGTAGAACTGGCCGGGCGGCGGCGGCGGCGGCCCGGCCTGGTACTGCGGCGGCCCCGGCTGGTACTGCGGCTGCTGGTACGCCTGCTGGTACGGCGGCTGAAACACGCACAGCCGGCCTTCAGACAGCCCGCATCGGCGATCTTGGAGTGCGTCCAACACGAGCACATTCGCAGCAGCGCTGGTGTGTCCTGGGATGCCCCTGGGGCGCCAATGGGATATCCTGACTCTGGGATGCCCCGCTCCAAGACTACACGGGTTCGGACTTGCCATGCATCTAGCCGCCCACCTGGCTTGTTATTTCGATCTCCCAGTTTTAGGCGTGCGTGATCCGCGAACAGTTCAGACCAGCATGCCTTCTTATGGCCGGGTATCCGTGCCGGTGTACCTGAGTCTGGCCGCCGTTCTGCATGATGTTCTGCATCTGCTGCATCTGCGACTGCTGCTGCGACAGCCGTTGTATGTCGTCCTGCAGCTCCGTCAGCGACTCGTTCATGCTGCCGGCGGCGATGGCACATCATCAGACCGGGGCGCGCGGAGCGGCACCGGGCGAACCCCCCTCCCCTCTCTCAAACACGGGAGACAAGCTCCAACGCCGCCGACCAGCGGCCCCCGACACACAGAAGACACGGCCAGATCGGGCGGCCAGACGAGCTCTGCCGCCGCCGACCAGCGGCCCCCGAACACAGGAGACACGGCCAGACCCGGCAGCCAGACGGGCTCCGCCGCCGCCGGCCAGACGAGCTCTTGCTCTCACCTGTGCAGCGAGCTGGTATATTGGTCGTAGTCCATGTTGTCGAGGTCCGGACTGCCGGCGGCGTCGGGCACCCGAGACCACTTGTCCTTCATGTGGCTCAGATTCTGACTCATCTCCTGCCGGACAGCGCGTGCACGTCGTCATGGTGCGGCCGCCTGACGCCGGCGCCAGAGCCCGCCTCCGTGCCCGCACCGGCAGCCTCTCGCCGCTGTCCATGGCCGGACTGTACGCCGGTCCGCGACGTCCAAACGTCGCTCCCATCTGAGACAGCCAGCCAGCGATGCGGCACAACCAAACAGCTGACTTCAACAGTGCCGTCGACGCTCCGGTGCCGGAGCGACCCCGGCCCGGCAGTCGCGTCCGACCCGCACACCTGCTGCCGCCCGAGCGGCGGCCTCTCGCGCGCAGCTCAGCACTGAACGGACGGGCGGCGGAGCGGACGCCGCGGCTGCCGCGCTTCTGACGCGGCGCTGGACCGCGCGCGGCGGCTGCAGCCCACGCGGCTGCCACGGCGGCATGCTGGCACACGTCAGGCACGACCACACCGAGGGGGAAGGGTGGGAACGCCGCGTGTGGAGACACCACTGAGCCGGCCGGCCAGGCCGACCCGGCTCCGGTGCGGCCTAAACACGCCAGCCTGTTACGGTGGTCCTCCGTCCAGCGACACAGGTGCCCCGGACGCAGTCAGCCGCCGCTGGCGGATGCCTATCTAACCACAGGGTGCTACTGGTGCAGCCTACTGGGCGTCAAACTCAGAGGGGCCGTGCTGCCATGCGGGACAAGATCACGCACACGAGGCGACACAGAGCGGCGACTACACAGCTGCAGCGCAGCGGCTGCCAGCAGCGGCCAGCCGCCGCAGCTGCCGCGCCGGAGGGCAACAGGCACACCATGCAGTCGGGCCTGGCTACGGGACGCGCAGACGGCGGGCCGCGCAGGGGCGTCACCTGCAGGCTGGCCGGCCGGCACTCCACACTGTCCAGCAGCGGCTCGGCGGCGGCGGCCGGCGCCGCGTCGCCGCCCTCACTGCCCGACGCCGAGGTGGCGCTGCTGCTGGCGCCCCCACCGCCGCCGCCGCCGCGGAATTTGCTCTGCACGCGCGCCGACACCGTCACCCAACGACACAGTGACAAGGGGCCCACGCACCCCCAATGCCGTCACCAGGCCATCCCCAATACCGTCACCAGGCCACCCCTAATACCGTCCCCAATACCGTCCCAGGCCACCCCTAATACCGTCACCAGGCCACCCCTCATACCGTCCCAATACCGTCACCAGGCCGCCCCTAATACCGTCCCCAATACCGTCACCAGGCCACCCCCAATACCGTCACCAGGCGACCCCTAATACCGTCACCAGGCCACCCCCAATACCGTCACCAGGCCACCCCTAATACCGGCACCAGGCCACACCCAATACCGTCACCAGGTCACCCCCAATACCGCCACCAGGCCTCCATGCGCCCACAAACCCCGCCACACCTTCACCAGGTCTCTCCCAATACCGCCACCAGATCACCTCTCGACAACATCAAGACACAAACGGTGGCTATGGCGGTGGCCGGCACCGGCCGCCGCCGCCAAACCGGCCGCGCGCCGCGTGTCCCCGACTATCGCCGTGCGTCGCTCACCTGTCCCATGGCCTGCAGGAACGCCTGCTTGCCCACCGTCTGCTTCTGGCGGCTCATGGCCGACTCCATGCGCCGCTTCTCCTTCTCGATGTTGCGCCGCTTCTCCTCGAGGCGCAGTTTGATGCTGTGCAGCTCTGAGGCCATCACGTCCGGCTCGGGGGCGCCCTCTGCCGGGCCGAGCAGCGGGCGTCACAGAGCGCGCCGGCAGCCGCGGGCGGAGCCGGCGGTGGCAGACAGACGGCGCCGGCGGTAGCCTACACCGGGCACCGCGGTCACCACAGCCTTGCACCAGCCTACGCTGCCCACTGCGTTCACCTCCACAACCTTACTCCACCACTGACTGGCTTTCCCAATTTCAAGAGTGTACGACTACAACACGACGTCGCCGGCACGACACCCACGCCTACCGGTCGGCAGCCGGCTGGGGACGCGCGGCCAGAGTCCCCCCTTCCCACCCCTCCCCCGGCAGTCTGCGGTGAGCGTGCCCGGCTGCCCTCCCCTCCCCTCGCGCCGCCACTCACCCGAGGCCGGGAGGCCGGGCCGCTGGCTCTGCTGCTGCTGCACCCAGCTGGTGGTGGCGGCGCCGGCCGCCGAGCCGTTGCTGCGCGCCGGCGCCGCCTTGCCGCGGTCCTCCTTCTCGTGCTGCATGTACACGATGTTGATGCCGCCGGCGTTGTCGCGCGGCTGCACCTTGGACAGCTCGGCGAAGCTGGTCGGCTTCTGCTCGTCGTTGTTGTCGAACATGATGACCAGGTTGCCCTTGGAGGGTGAGTCGCCGCGCGCCTCGCGCTCCAGGGCGTCCAGCACGCGGTTGTCGATGTCGACGCCGCCGTCGTCGGCGTCGCGTCCGATGGGCCGGAAGCCGTCGGCGGGCTCGTCGCCGCCGCGCCGGCCGGTCGGCTTGAAGTGCTCCTTGATAGTGCTCTCCTGGAAGAGATTGCGACTGGGCGGACGCGTCAGCTCCTGCCGGCTGTCGCTGCGCGTCTCGTACAGGCTCTGGCGGCTGGCGCTGCGCGACAGCGCCCGCTCCTGCTCCACGTCCTGGAAGGGGTCGCGGTCGCCGAAGCTGATGGTGCTCTCCTTGAGCAGGTCGCGGTGCGTGCTGCTCTCGCGCCGGCCGCGGTGCACCACCGGCTGCTTGTCCGGGTTGCGGCCCAGCATGTGCAGGTTGTCCTGGCTGCCGCCGAAGTTCTCCACGGTCAGCTGAGACTCCTCCGAGAACGAGTTACGCCGCGAAAGTCGGCCGCCGCCGCCGCCGCGCCCGCTCGGCGACGGCTTGCCGGCCGGCTGGTGGCGCTCGAGGTCGCCGCACTCGGAGACGGCGCCGCGCCGCTCCTCGCCGCGCTCCTCCCACTTGGTGTCGCGGTTGAGCCGCTCCTTGAGGCGGCGCGGCGCCGCCGGCTCGTCCGAGTGCACCGACGACGGCGGGCTCTGCGAGCGGCGCTGGTGCGCCAGCCGCGACAGCGTCAGCGGGCCGGCCGCGCGCTGCACCACGAACTCGCTCTCCTCCGAGTTGGACCTGCAACCAGCCGGCGGCCGCCCCGTCAGCCGACCGACCGACCGAGCGACGCGGCGGGCGGCGCCGGCGCCATCCGCCAGCGCGCTGCACCTGCCGCCACTCCGGGACACCCTCAGGCCAGGCGGCAGACAGGCCGACTCGATGTAACCGCACAGGCTGCTAAGTACGACTGATGCATAAAGGCACATTTGCGCAGTGCTTGTTTCAGTTATGCATCAACATCACCCCCTTTGCTAATCCTGGACGCTTCTCAGTTCTTCCTGTGACAAGATATACCACGTACTTCGTTTGCAGCCTATAACATGCTAACTCTACAATGTGTCATTACACAAAACTCGTTGTCGCTTCACCTGCCTAAGAGTCCACGTCCCCACATGTTTGAAATCCCTTGTCTGGGCCGTTTGCCTATAAGGAAACGTAGCACACCGGCACAGAGCCTGGCACGAGCTGTTGACGAGATCGAGCGAAACGGCTTGTGACAGGCGTGCCGGGGGCAGAGGCCGGCCGGCCAGCCGGGACAGCCGGAGCGGCGGCGGCTCCGGCCGGCTCCGGACGCTTACCTGTCGTCGTCGCGGTAGACGGAGCGGTCGTCGCCGGGGTAGACGGAGCGGGGCCGCCGCGAGCCGCCGCTCGGTGCCGACGGACTCTCCCGTCCCGCTGCTGTCGACACGCGGCCGGCGCCCGTCACACACACACGCACACCCAGACAGAGGGCGAGAGCGCGGCTCGGACGGGAGGGAGGCCGAGATGAGGCGGCGGAGCCGCAGTCTCTCGAAATGGGCCGGGGAGCTCGGAGCGCTGCCCGCCCGCGGAGCAACGGGGCGCCCGGACCCAAACGACCTCCAGCCACGGGACAGTTCCAGTTATGTGCACCGGTGTCAGAATGCAAACATACATACATAACACACATGCATACGCATCACACATACTACATTTTAGCCCTATTAGCCCGTGACTATTAATTCATGGCTTCACAATTAATAACGAATGCATTCAATATGGCGTGTGCATCACGGAAGCTATGAGATGCACATAAAGGAAGAACTTGCGTGCATTGGAGTTCTGTACAGGTCGTCATGCAAGTTTTATGAGCAAGAATGCAATTACATTGTCACATAATACGGAAGGGGGGAGGGGGGTCATCATAGCTGCTATTCGGGTGTCAAAATCAATCAACTCGTTCAACCCGCTTTCTGCTAACAGCATTTGCTGTAACCTAGAATCAAATCAAATGATGCTGAAACAAACGCATACAAACGCCACAACGGTGAAATTAACTGTAACACCAGCAAATGCAAACAAAGCACGCAGCCACACAAACGGACACGAAACTGCAAATTGACATACAACGGTACTCGTAGTTGATGCATGTCTACGAAATCCATGTCAAGAAATCTTCAGACGCCATACAATCCCACCAGTAACAGAGTTCTACCCAAAACACAGCCCGCAAACAAACAAAACTGCATGCCACAGGCGAAAACCGCCCAAATGCCACAGTAAAAAACCAGGCCACAACAAGCGTCGGCCCGGTGATGCCATCTGTCGGCGGCTCCAGGAGTCAGCGTCTCAGGCCGTGCCGGGTTGCGGAGCCACAGAGCTAGGCGGCCGCGCCCTCCTACCGTCGGCCAGATGGTGGAAGCACTGCTGCTCGAACGGCAGGTGGCCGGGCCGCGAGCAGTAGTGGCACCGCTCGGTGGCCGGGTGCGAACAGCGCCACCACCAGTCCGGGTACAGCGACGCCCAGGCGCAGCACCCACCTTCGGTCGGCCCAGCGGCGTCCGTTTACCAACGCCCACTGACACACACGCGCGCCTCACACCGCATCCGCCTCAGCACGCTCCGCGCAGCGCCGCGGCACACCGGGTTGTCATCAAAACACCGGTCACGTGGTGACGTCACTGGACACGCACGGCCCAACCGAGGTCGGGGAGGAGAGGGCGGTGACGTCAGCAGTCTGGATGGGCGTGCCCTGTCGCCGTCGTCGTGTCCGGTTTGCCACGCATGTGTCACCCGAGTCCAGGCCGGCGTGTCTGCCCCGTGCGGAGGCGTCGCCCAGGCCGGCCCCACCCCGCCGTGGCGTCACATGTGTCCCGCCTCGGCGCCACCCACCACCTGGGACCAGCTTCGCTGGTACGAGCGCAGCCGCCCATCGGCACCACCGAAACCCAACCGGTGCGCTGCGCCTCGTCTTATCGACAATGCGTGGAGTGTGCAAAGATGCAGACGGGGTGACAATGCTGTGCAAAGGGGAGCCAATGTTTAGTGCATAAATGATCCGCAAGCAGTTGCCAGAACCGAGACCGCGCCAGTGCGCAGACGTAGGCCGACTGTTTCATAAACATCTCCCGGCATGTCTCCGAGGCCGCCTGCCAAAAGCTCCCGTCCGTCGTGGAGCACTGCACCGGCAACTGTCTCCTGTAAAGCGACGTCTGCCTCCCTGGCCGGAGCTCTACCACTCTTAGCCCTGGACGCCGAGGTCTACGAGAAGACAGGATCGACACTGCTTGGAAAACGAGCAGCGGCCGATAGCGCTCCGCCGTGCGGCGACAGCAGTGGAGCTGATCTGCCAGCGTCACAGACCGGCCACGGCCGACACGAGCGCCAGCGGACGTCAGGACAACGGCCTGGGACCGACCGGCCGGACGTCGGCGGGCCGGTGGGGGCGGTGTCGGCATACGTACGGGCGTGCGTCGGCGGGGGGCGCGGCCGGCCTCCGTCTCCGTCTCCGTCTCCGTCTCGATGTCGGTGTCGGTCGGAAGGCGTCACACACAGTCTCGCGCGTCGGTGGTCGGGGTAGGCGGATACAAGTGCTGGTGCTGGTGTGTCAGGTCGGGGGTCGAGGTCGGGGTCGGGGTCGGGGTCGGGGTCAGGGTCGGGGTCGGGGGTCGGGGTCGGGGTCAGGATCAGGATCAGGATCAGGATCAGGATCAGGATCAGGATCAGGATCAGGATCAGGATCAGGATCAGGATCAGGATCAGGATCAGGGTCAGGGTCAGGATCAGGATCAGGATCAGGGTGGTCAGGTCAGGGACGGGTCCTGGTCTGGGTGAGGACGTGGATCAGGGTCGGGTCTTGGTCTGGGTCTGGGTCGGGGTCAGTCCAGGAGTTGGTTAGTCAAGGTTAGTGACAAGCCCTCTGCGCCAACAGACCTGCAGACACAGACACAGGACCGGCTGCCAGAGACTGGACCGCCCGCGATCAGAGACTGGACCGCCCGCGCCCGGCCACAAACCAAGCCCGCGATGGCAGCCCAGACTGGGACCGATGCATTTATTCACACGCGCTGTGCATTTATTTAACCACCCGTGAATACCATCGCCAAATTGATGCAGTGTTATGATGGCCCAAAATAGCATGGAACTTTTCTATAGATATGATTCATGGGTCTATTATAGCCTCTATGTTACCCAGACACCCCTGCCATTCCACAAAGAACATAACTTCAGGAGATATAAAGCATCCTCCGACACCCTACGCCGTTTGAGTTAGCACGATGAAAATCCTGACAAATCACCTACCCAGAGTCACGTAGTGCTCACAATAACGCTTATGAACGCACCCGGGTTCCGCTGTAGAGGTGGTGAAACTATCCGTCAACTCCTCAGAATGGGACCAGCAACAGTGTAAAAGAGAAGAAAATTAGGCTTTACCCGAGGCCAACCTCCAAACCGGGCGCCAAAATACACTCCCCAGAAGAAAACTATAAAGGACAGCAAGACGGAGCACTTTATGATACGGCAGCCTCGCCGTTGACTTTTCATCCATTGTATGCACTAATGACAATGCTTTGCAAGGAGTCCGGGCGTGTCTAGCATACCTTCAAACATGCTGAAGCGCTGCCTCCCTCTCTCGGCCGAGCGCGAGCCTCTACTTCTCCGCATGACAACAGATGGCTCTGAGTGCGGGTATTTCCCTCCTGCATGCCACCGGTCAGGGGCGTTAGTAGGGGTGCAGTGACAGCGGCAGGGCAGGGCGGGGCGGGGAGCGGCGCCGCACCTCCACCACCGGTTAGTCAAGCGTGCGCCTCGGGCCGCCGCGGGGCCACCGAGTGCGGCGGGGAGGGGGCGCCACCAGCGTCACGACCGGCGCGGCGCCTCCGCCCACACGGACGCGTCCAGCCGCGCAGACAGACAGACAGACAGACAGACAGACAGACAGCCAGAGAGGGAGACAGAGAAGGAGGTCAAGAGGCGGCGGGCCTGAGGCCGGCCGCGGGAGGTCGGCGCAGCGGACAGAAGACGGCCGCGCACCGGCGGCGGCGCGGCGACTGACCTGAGAAGCTGCTCGCCTGGCTGGCTGAGCCGCGCAGGTCAGGCTGAGAGCGCCGCGGACTGCCGCCCAGGCCGCCCTGGCGGCGCATCTGGCCGGCCCGGGGTCAAGTCAGGTCAGCACCGGCGCTCGGCGCGCTCCACACAGCGCAGCTCGGCCGGGAGACGGCCGCTGGCCCGGCAGCACGCACAGCACTTAAACCATTCAAAGCTACACAGCTATGTTTCACGGAGACATCTCTCCCTTTCGTTCGCGCCAAAGAGACACCTTAAAGGTGGTGGAAAAACACCTAAATAAAGGTGGAAAGACCACCTTAAAGACCATTAGGTGGTGGACAGGTCACATAAAAAGTGTCAGTGTAATGCAAACAGTATCAGAGCGAACAGAGCATGGTCACTTCTAGAAGGCACTTTGAGACAATTTACAAGCATATTACTGGCTGAAGTAAGCTTTGGGAGCAGCATTGACTGCACCGAACGTGGCCGGCGCGCGATGGTGAACGCACCTCCTCTATCACCCTCTCCTTGCCCATGACGGGCTGTCTGACACATTTGGCCGGGTTGATCTCGAACAGGTAGAAGAGGTCGGCTAGCAGCACCAGCAGGTTCTGTTTCACCGAGCTGACGACCAGAAGAGCGCCGGTCACGGTACGGCCCGGGTGGCCTCCAGATCGCGTCACTCGAACGCCTCGGCGGCCTCGTCACCACCACGGCCACAGCGTCTGGCGCTCGCCTCTGGCCGGCGCCGGGCAGCGGTACAACAGCATCAACAACGGGCGCAGTCGCAAGCGCCGACGGCCGCCATCACAAGCGAGGCCGCTGATCAGACGCCTCTCCATGTCTGAGCCAATGCGTGCATTTCGCGTGCAACGTCTGCCCGCTTCGAGCAGGCCCCACACCGCTGTCCGGCGCCGCGCACGCCGGCGGCCAGCGGCGGCCGACCCACCTGTGCATGTACAGGATGTCCTCGAGCGTGAGGAAGTGCGGGTTATAGGGCAGCGCGTCGTGGCAGAACTTCTCGAGCAGCTGCAGGTTGTAGAGGCTGTCGGCGATGCGCGGCGGGTCGGAGAAGGCCACCTCCGGCCAGGAGAGCTCGTCCGGGCAGTAGAGCGCCACCAGGCCGGCCAGGCACGTGCCGTCCGACAGGTCCGACATGTCCTGCTGCAGCGGGAAGCTCGGCACGCCGCCCTCCTGTCGGCCGACACCGGCCGCGTCAGGCGGCTCACCCGGCCAGCCGGACCGCACGAGCCGGCCAACACAATAGCAGGAGTGGGGCAGACAAGCGCTAACACTCAACGGCGCCAGCCCAGCCGCCGCTCCCCTCATGGCGCGCTCCACCAGCGGCGGTCTCCGTGCCGCCGGCGGCGCCGAGCCGCGGTGCGTGCCTGCGTGGCGCCGGCGAGGCCTCTCCCGAACAGGCGGCCCCGCCACCGGTCTGACCAGGCGCCGGCGGCGCCGGCGGCCGCAGCAGGCGCTGACCGGAGCCGTCCCCAGCTGACGGTCGCCAGGGGTCGCCAGGGGTCGCCAGGGGTCGCCACGGCCCGACCGGAGCCGCTCCAGTTTCGGCTGGGGTCGCGGCGGCGAGCGGCCGACCTCCGGGTCAGCCCGCCGTGACCCCGCCCCGACCCCGCGCACCACTAACGGCGCCGGCAGTACGGACCGCCGTCCGCAGAGATGGCCGGCGGGCCGCCGCCGAACAACGGGACGGAAACAGGCCCCGGCGTCGGCGGCGTGGTGGGAGTGTGGCGGAACATTCAGCTGCTGCCCCGGGGCTGGCCCAGTACGGTGCTGCTGCCCCTTTGCGGACGTTTCAGCACGCGCCGTTCAAAATCTCAAAGCTGCAGTGCCACACAATATACGCGTATATTGTGTGGCACGATACACGCTCATCTTTTATACTTTGGGACACCCGCAAGGTGTCCATCAAGCTTCGCAAAACACGTTTCATACGACATCAGGTCCCTACGACCCTGGGGTTTCATGGTTACGTTCACGGCTACCCTGGTGCTGGCACAAGATCGGGCCCCAATAACAACGTCGTCCGATTGGTCAGACCGGTCGCCAGCAAGCGCCGCCCCGTCCCAGCACTGAGCCGCGGCCGGCCTAACCGCCGGCCTGACCCGCCACTGACCTCCGGCTGGGCGCGACACTCGGCGGCGATCTGCAGCCGCAGCCGAGCGCACGCCTTGTTGATCCAGAGCAGGAGCGCCTCCTCCTGGTCGGCGGGCAGCTCGGTGGAGGCCTGCAGCTGGGTGAAGCGGCGCACCACGCCCACCACCCGCTCGGCTGTGATCACCTCGCGGATGTAGAGCGCCATGATCGCCTCCATCACGGCCATGTGCGCGCTCTGTCGACACACGGGCCGCAGGTCAGGTCAGGTCAGCACAGCTGTAGGGCAGGGCAGGGCAGGGCAGGGCAGGGCAGGGCAGGGCAGGGCAGGGAAGGGGCAAGGCAAGGCAAGGCAAGGCAAGGCAAGGCAAGGCAAGGCAAGGCAAGGCAAGGCAAGGCAAGGCAAGGCAACCCAAGGCAAGGCAAGGCAACCCAAGGCAGGGCCGGGCAGGGCGGCACGGCTTCAGGTCTGTACACTGCAGGCCGTTTGGAGATCACACCCGGCGATCGCCGTGGAGCGGAAGTCCATATAGGTAGGGAGATGCGACGAGGCTCGGTCAACAGGCGGCTAGGTGCACAGGGGTCAGACGTAGGTCACGCGTGGGTCAGACGAATGTCAATGTCATTCAGCGCCGCCGACAGCACGTGTTCCTAGACACCAGCGATAGGCTCGCACCTGGGGAATCCAACGTCAAACAACCGCAGCAGCCTCTCCCCCCCCCCCCCCAATGACACACCTCTCACCCGGGCCGGACCAGGCGGGCACCGGTGGCGCCCCGACGGCCCGGCCAGCCTCGGAGGAGGGTCCGCCCTGCCCTGGCGAGCTCGGCGCCGCGGGTGCAGGCGCGAGCCCCAGTCGGCGTCCGGTGCCCCCGCACCAGGACACCCGGCGGAGCCGAGCACGCCTGCCGTTCGGGCCGAGCGCACCATCAGCCCATCTCCATTCTCCTCCTTCCCTCTACCTTCAGTATCAGCTGGCGGACACGGACGCGGAAAACACGCCTCAATGGAATAGGCTTTCCCGTAGAGGCCGTACACGTCAGGCATGAAAGCATAGAACAAAGACCCCGCGCCGCACCTGATTCACCAATAATCGCGAGCGCATCGATGGAGAGGAGAGATGGCCCGGCTCCTGCGGCCGCCGCCGCCACCACCAGAGTGCAGCGCCTTTCCGGTCACAGAGAGATCCGCGGCCGCCCACCGCCTGAGTATCCGATGGTCTGGGCCGCTGGCCACCACACCATCCATCCATGGGCGGCTCGGACCGCGGCGCCGCCGGGCAGCGCCAGCCAGCATGGCCGTCATCCGAGCAAAGCAAGGCCGTCATCCGAGCAGCCAAGCCGTCACCCCAGCAGTCAGGCCGTCATCCGAGCAGCCAAGCCGTCGTCCGAGCAATGCCAGCCAGCCAGGTCGTCATCCGAGTAGCCAGGTCGCCATCCGAGCAGCCAGGCTGTCACCCCAGCAGCCAGGCCGTCACCCCAGCAGTCAGGCCGTCATCCGAGCAACGTCAGCCAGTCAGGCCGTCACCCCTGCGGTCAGGCCGTCATCCGAGCAACCAGGCCGTCATCCCAGCAGTCAGGCCGTCATCCGAGCAACGCCAGCCAGCCAGGTCGCCATCCGAGCAGCCAGATATCATCACACCGAATGACCCGTCCGGCCGACCGTCAACCGGTCCAGGCGCCGACGGGCCACTCGACAGCGGACAGCCAGAGGCCGACCGTCAACCGGTCCAGGCGCCGACGGGCCACTCGACAGCGGACAGCCAGAGGGCGACCGCGGCGGTCTGCCGCTCCTGGGCCAGCAGCGCGTCACTTCCGGGCGCTGGCGCCAGGTGAGGCGAGGCGAGGGGAGGGGAGGGGAGGGGGGCTGAGGTCACCTCAGATGACAGTCAGGACGACGACAGGGGGCGGGGAGGGGACAGGGCAGACGACACGGCAGCTGAGCCTGCAACCGACGGCAGGCATCCGAAACGCACCATCTCAAACGGGCCAAGGAACGACCTTGTCGGTACGATCATATTGTTCTTTGGTGATCCTGTGCTGACAGGCTGCGAGCCAAGAACGATGAAAAGACGGACTCGTCCCTATCTAGACTCCCACGCCCACACGCCATGTTTGCTGTTCCATTGAGCATATGAAGAAGGCAGGGGCAGAAACGCAGGGTCTCTCGTGGATTTTTCGACAACAGTGATAACAAAGCGATGTGAAACCCAAGCGGCGCTCGCTGTCGCCGCCCAAACACAGCGCTTCAACCTCTACCGATTCGAGAGTGAGACGCCACTCAGGACCGCCGACGCTCCGCAGGCGCCGAGACCGGCCGGCGAGGGGGTGGCCGAGGCGGCCGGGGCCCGGCGGCGAACGGCCCGGCGCTTCGGTAGCGGCACCATCGTGCCGCGGGCCGGTCGGGGGGCCGAGACCGCCGGCCGGGCCCCGACACCCCGCGCCGCACCACGCCGGCCGCTGATGACACAGCTGCCGCCGGCGCGCACCACTCACCCGCGGCTAACTTTAGAGCGCCGAGTCAACAGAGCCGGCCGACACGCGATGGAGCCCGAGCGGACGCGCGGTGACTGGCCTCACCCGCTGCCGCGCCTCCCTCCTCCCACCTCCGCCACCACGTGTGGCCGCTCTCCCGCGCTCGCCGGCGGTGCTGGCCGCACGTGGCGGACAGCGGCCCCGGTCGCTCGTGCTCCGCGGCCGTCAGCCGGAGCAGGGCTTCTCCAGACCGGCCGGCCATCATCAGCCGCACCACCGTCTCACCAGCCGCGCAGAGCTTCTCACATCTACCCACGGGCCGGCCTCCGACTGTGCGGACTGTACGTGCCACGCATGCAAATCGCACCCGAGAGCCCACTAGAGCCAGCTGCGACCTGGAATGTCCACGCGCCGACGCATCACAAGTCCACGCTGAGCGTGGAAAGCCATTCTGCCGCCGGTCTGAACCAGAAGACAACAAAGCACCCAGATCGCACATTCGGCACCAATGAAGTGTCATTTGAACGGTACAAGCACATTTCGTCCTGCCTCTAAGGTAAGCTACGCCGCTAAATGTACTTGTTCGGGCTTGCTGGTCATTACAATTAGCCGTCACCGAAGCCTGCGTCCGCCCTGCCGCGAAGGGCCGTCCAGTGACGGCTGGGCGGTGCCCCCGCCCGACCGTGGCCATATGGGGGCGGGCGCCTGGGCGGGAGTGTCGCCGAGGCGCCGCCCTGAACAGGTGGCCCGGCTGGCGGCGGCGTCAGGGTGACACGCCGCAGCCGGAACTCCCCCCCCCCCTACCCCCAGCGGCCGTGCACAGCGTGCTCACAGTGTACACACCGCGAGGAGCGAACAGCTGCTGACATGGCCGGCCGCTCAGAGGTGTCGGGGATGTCATGAGCTTCGATCGGACGGCACCAGAGGCGCCCCACACCGACTGCTACTCACACAGGACAGACGGTGTAACGATCTGCAGGTCGAGGTCGGGTCGGACAGCCCTGCATCGCCCCTGACCGGGTCGGATAGCCCTGCATCGCCCCTGACCGGGTCGGACAGCCCTGCACCGCCCTTGACCGGGCCAGACAGCTCTGCATCACCACTGACCGAGTCGGACAGCCCTGCACCGCCCCGACCGGGCCGGACAGTCCTGAGCGCCGTATCTCTCTCCGGCGTGCATTTGCAAGCTGTGTCCGCGGCCTCGAATGTGGGCGGCGCACGGAGCCCGGCACCGCACACACGTCACGGCGGGAGACAGCGCGGCGGGCGCCGCCCTGCCCGCAGCGGCCGCGGCAGAGGCCGGCACCGGGCGCCGGGCGACAGCGGCCCGGGGGCACCGGGTGGTGCGGGGGTCGCCTGCCGCGGCCCGGAGCCGGCCGTGACGCGGGTGGACCGCAGCACGGCCAGGGGCGCCGGGCCGCGCGGCGGCGCCTGCCGCGGCCCGGAGCCAGCCGTGACGCGCGTGGGCCGCAGCACGGCCCGGGGCGCCGGGTGGTGCGGCGGCGCCTGCCGCGGCCCGGAGCCGGCCGTGACGCGGGTGGGCCACAGCCGGGGCCGGAAGCGAGCTCCGGACGCGCCGCCGGCTGACCGCGCCGCCCACCAGCTGACGAGACCGCCGCTGGCCCGCTAACGGCCTGAGTCACACACACCGCCGTGATGACAGGCCGGCTGGCAACAGCCGCCTAAACGCAGGGCACCGGCCACGCCCGGTGACGTCACAGGTGACGTCACCAGCGCACGCCCGGGAGCCGGTACGGATACCGAGTGCACGACTAGCGCGGCGCGGTGACGAGTCCGGGGCCCGACGGAGCGCGCCGGTCCGACACGGTGCTTGCCCACACAGGCGGCGCGTGGGGTGACGCACCGTCTACGAGAAAGCGGCGGCGCGTGCGCGGCTGCCCGCGCCAACCGGAGAAGGCATGTACTCCACTTTCGCTGGCCGCCATACGTTGTGGCCACGTCGCCAGCAGCGCCGCTAGTCCGCCGGGCCGGGCCGGGCCGGGCCGGGCCGGCGGAGGAGGCCGGCCGAGCCTCTCGCACAGCCGCTCGCCCAAACAGCGTACCGCGCGCGACAGGGCGAGGCTGGCGTCTCGACGGCCCGGCGGCGGCAGCGGCGGCGGCGGCGGTCTGCTCTGGCCGGCCGCGATCCGCCGTCGCCGGGTGGACTCACCGCCTCCCCGGCAACACGTGACGGCACAGCGCAAACAGCGACGACAGATGAGCGCCATTTATGGACGCTGCAACAAGCTCGTACCCATCCTCCTGGGGATCGCCAGCATTCGAGCGACACATACACTCCACATCAGCATTCCGTCCTGCATTAGCACATCACATTCCCGTGCTGCGGCGGAGGCGCCGCCGTCGGCGGTGTTACGCGCGCCCGGCGGCCAGCACTGACCATTTTGATGGGTCCCGTCTGGATGAGCACCGTCTCGGTGAGCGCCACGTCGCTCGGCTCGGCCACGTACACGCCCTTCCTGGCCAGCGCCTGGATGATGCCCCAGTGCGACAGGTTGTGGTAGTTGGGGTCGGCGTAGATGTTGGCCAGGCAGGAGCAGTAGAGCTCGGCGCTGGCCAGTGCGTGCACGATCTGTGGCTTGAGTCGCTCGCCGCCCTGCAACACACGTCACAGCAGCCGACCGTCACGGCCCCTGCCAACCCTGCAACACACGCCAGAGCGGCCGACCGTCACGGCCCCTGCCAACCCTGCAACACACGCCACAGCAGCCGACCGTCACGGCCCCTGCCAACCCTGCAACACACGCCAGAGCAGCCGACCGTCACGGCCCCTGCCAACCCTGCAACACACGGCACCCATACCACCACACACGGACCGGGCACAGCGGCGGCCAGAGGGTCGGCTCAGTCGGTTCAGTCGGCACGGCCCCCATCAGCCGTCGGCTCAGCCGAGCACAGGGTCAGGTCAGGCCTCACGGGAGGGCCGGCACAGCACGAGACTGGGAGAGCCGGAGCCCGAGCCCGGCGGCGCGGCGGGGCCGCACCAGGCCAGCGTCCCGCCGCTGCCGGCATGCTGCCCGGCAGCGGCGGGGAGGCAGCCGGGGCGCAAGCTCCGGCACCTCACCACCTCGTCGTAGTCGAGGCCATTGCGGCCGTGTATTTACCACGGTGAACCTGTAATCATATCATCCTCTACAGTTTACCATACTAAATTGCGTAATTACCTGCTTGCATTACCGGGCCTCAGGGTGTCTGGAGGCAACATTTAAAGCAAACCTAGCCTCACTCTACGGCCCCAGCCACTATGAGGTGGCGGTCGCCAACTCCGCACACCTCGTGCGCTCCCCTCCCCCCCTCCCGTTGCTCCCGTGCCGCCCACGCGCGAGACGAGGCGCCCGCCGGCCGCCGGCTGGGAGGCCGACAGGCCGGCCATTACACGTTTTAGCGCCGCTCCGTCGCCTCTGGCACCGCCTATGCTAAACTGCCAGCTGATTTATTCGCTGATTGGCGCTCCGACTGCGGCTGTCGTCTGACGTCACGGCTACACCACACGCGGGCGGGCCGGCCCGGTGAAAGGCGTGCTGACGGCGCAGCGCGGCGCCGAGAGCGTGAGCCGGTCTGCCCTGCCCGGATCAGCCGCAGCGTCCAGGCACGAGACGCGGCACGACGCGATGGCGCACGCGCGCGAGAGACGTACGGCTCCAGCAGGCTCCAGAGTGCAGCCGGCGGACAGACCGAGCCGCACTGGCGCTTTGTGGACACTAATGCACCTGCACGAATATGGCACACCATTCGGGGCCCAGCAAAAAGCGCAAAAAGTCCGTCGCACGTATCAGTTCCACAGACGGCTCCACAGGAGGAGCTGAACTAGGCCAGCCGCTGGCGCCATACACTATCGTAAGTGCGATCGCCGGCGAAATCGAAACCCCACCGTCAGCCGCGTGAGAGGAAACGCAGAGCGCGCTCTGTGTCGGGACCGGGCGGCCGGCGCGGCGGGCCAGCTCTCGGTGCTGGTGCGGCTGCCGACGCCCGCCGAGCCGGAGCAGAGCCCGACAGGCGCCCGCTGGGGACGCCGGCCGCTTTCCCGACCGGCATGGCCGGCGGGCCCGCTCTCACTCTCCCCGGCCGGTCAGCCGGCACAGGGGGGAGCGCGAGACGGCCGCCACAGCGCTGGTGTCAGCCCCGCACAGCAGGCCAGACGGCCGGCGGACTGACACAGCACGGGCGGACCGACACAGCACCAGCACCAGCCCTGCACAGCAGACCAGACGGCCGGGGAACTGAAACAGCGCCGGCGTCAGCCCCGCACAGCAGGCCAGACGGCCGGAGGACTGACACAGCACGGGCGGACCCACACAGCACCAGCACCAGCCCTGCACGGCAGACCAGACGGCCGGGGAACTGACACAGCGCTGGCGTCAGCCCCGCACAGCCAGACGGCCCACTGACACAGCGCCGGCTGTTGTTTCCACATGCCACTCAAAGCTGGTGGGTTGATACGGGTTACAACAGCCTCGTTCAGAGCGTGATTTACACGAGCGCGCGGTTAGCTAGTACGCCAGAGGTGATTGTTTCTGACACGTCACAGTCGACGTAACTGACGACGGCGGCCCTTGTTTACCAGCGCTTTCAAAATGCTAACATGGAGTGGCGACCGAGGCCGGTGTCGGCCCCGAGTCCCTGATGACCTTCACGCTGACCTGACACCCATCTAACCCTACGTGACACATGTGACCCTGCTTCTAGACCCACTGCGATTTGACCGTCTCTGGTCCCCAGCCTACGCGTCCCGTTTGCAGCACTGTGCGCCCAGCGCCGCGGCACGCTCTCTCTCCCACCCGACCCTGCGCCGCCCTCGCGCCGCCCACGGACGCCTCGGAGTGTCAGACGCCCCGCTGCCTGTGGCGCCGCTCCACCGACGGTCCCGCCCGGTCCCGTTTGGGCGGCCCCGCTGTCTGTGGCGCCGCTCCACCGACGGTCCCGCCCGGTCCCGTCTGGGCGGCCCCGCTGTCTGTGGCGCCCCTCCACCGACGGTCCCGCCCGGTCCCGTCTAGGCGGCCCCGCTGTCTGTGGCGCCCCTCCACCGGCGGTCCCGCCCGGTCCCGTCTGGGCGGCCCCGCTGTCTGTGGCGCCGCTCCACCGGCGGTCCCGCCCGGTCCCGTCTGGGCACTGCAGCCGACACCGCTTCACGCCCGCCCGGTACACGCACGCACTTACCACCCTCGAGGATATCAGATAAGGATATCAAGATACCTAGGACATGAAATCCATCACGTCCTATCCTCGGCACAAACTTGCCTGTCACCATGCTCAACTTCCTTTCATCGCCTGCTCCCTCGCCTTAAACACCGCGTTGTTACATATGCTATTACTACGTAAGTTTGAGCGCGCGGGCTGCTTCACTAATGTCAAGGCGTTTAGGTGAGCTGATGCCGCTTCCACTGATCACCAACACAGCCCGTGGATGCGCTGCGATCGCGTCAGTACCGCAGGGACACCACGCATGCGGTGTCGAGTCCGCCACCCACACGCCGCACGCGGCACAGAACGGGCTGCAACCCTGCGGCGGGACGCCCCGACGGCTCTGGCCGCCGCAACTCCTGTGGACCGGGCCGGTACTCACACCGCTCTGGTGACGGTGATCGTGACAGAGTGAGGGGGCGGGGGGAGGCACTCCACACAGCTCCTGGCTCGACGCCAGGCCGGGTCGGTACTCACATCGCTCTGGTCGCGGTAGTACGGGTCGCGCAGGTTACTCGGCACCTGGTAGTTGTAGGCCTTGGCCACCAGCCAGCGGACGGAGGCGCGCTGCTTGGCCTGCAACACACAACACGGCACGTCAGCTGACCGGCCCCGAGCGAAGCCGCTCCGGACGACAGCCGGCCTCGGAGACGGCGGCTCGACGGCGGGCCACGGCGGGCGTCGCCGCGGGCCCACGTGGCGTGTTCACAGAGCGGACTATGCCAGGTCACTCCCTCGAGGCCCACTATTCTTGGGTCAGTTCCACGAGGTCCACTTCTCTTGGACACCGGGGAGACAGCTGGGTAAGCGCAGGGGAGGGGCGGGGGCGGGAAGTGGGCGTTACACGCGGGCCTCACCAGCTGTCCGCGCCTGACGGCTGCCGCTCGCAGCGCCGCTCAGCTCAGGTGGACGGCCAACGGAATGCACGCCTGATAACCACGTCAGCGCGCGCTCAGCCGTCGTACAATCACGCTGATGGATCGATTGGCGCGCTGATGCCGCGGCGCCAGGCTTTTTCACGGCTCTTCGAGCTCGGAGCGCGCGGCACACACGGCTCTACGCGAGGCCACACAATGGCCAACCACGAAAAACCGAATTACGGCGACGAGCAAAAAGAGGCGGCCGCGCCAATCCAACAATGGCCCGCGCCGACGAGTCGGACCCCGGAGAGCCGGCCGGCCCGTGCGACAGACGCCGACCGTCGGACGTCCGACGCGATGATGGGACTCATCTGGCGTCACACGATGTCCGACGCCGAACCACATAAGTGTCCTACTTCTGCTTTAATCGTCTTACAAGTCTGTTGTGACAACTGCAGCTATGCAAATGAGGTAGCAAACACTAGGAGTTCCTTTCATCCACGCATCCGCTTCCATAATTGCAGCGGCGGCGGCTCCACGGCCGCTGACTCCATGGCGCACGGGGAGCCAAGCCGCACCCCGGCACAGGCAGATAATTGAAGCAGGTGTGCCGAAAGTGGGCACGGATTTATGGCGCTTGATCCCAGCACAGACAGCTTGTAATCGAGCCCGGTATTTGTGAGCACCGAGCCCCCGTGTTTCGCTGCACTGGGAGCACCCCTCGACCGGCCTGATCGCCCGCCAGGCCTGATCTTGCGCCGACGACGGCTGGCCCCGGGCGGTGCCGGCCCGGGCCGCGCGGCGTCCGTGGGCGGCGACGGCGGCGGCGGCGCCGGCCTGCGGAGGCGACACGTCGCTGCCGCCCGGCTCGGCCGGTTTCACTCCGATGGCGGGGCGCGGTGCTCCGCCCGGCGCCGCTGGCCGAGCGCGCTGTATAAGGGGCGCGGCTGGCCGGCCGGCCAGGCCGCCGCCGCCAGCACACCCCGCCGGTCGTGTTTCTCCGCTCCATCTCGGCCGACCGCCGCGCCGTCCCGCCACACGCCCGAACCGGACGCCAGCTGGCCGACGGCCGTCCAAGTGTCGATCGCCCACCGTCTGTACGGCGTGAAAACGACGGTCGCCGCCGTAGCGCACCGTCGAACCGAGCCCAGCCGCGCCGATCACACACACATGCACGCACGCACGCACGCACGCACGCACGCACGCACGCACGCACGCACGCACGCACGCACGCACGCACGCACGCACGCACGCACGCACGCACGCACGCACGCACACACACACACACACACACACACACACACACACACACACACACACACACACACACACACACACACACACACACACACACACACACACACACAGCTGCTACCGGCGCCGGCTGCGGCAGCTCCAGGAGGCGGCGCGATTTCCCACCGCCCGCGGGCGCGGCACGCGCGCGGACCGAGCGACCGGCGGCACTTTCACTGGAGATGGCCGGCCCGCATACCGGCGGCGGCGGGAGCGGCGGGAGCGGCGGGAGCTGACCGGCCGGCCGCCGGGCCCGCTGACCGGCCGGCCGCCCGCCAGCGGCCGCTCGCACCGATTGCCGCTGCCGTGGCATGGAGTGTCACCACGGTACAGGCGTGAACAGTACAGTACACGGTACAGGCAACTGTTGCCGGCCGAGTCCCTTGGGAAGCGCCCCAGGTCCCTCCCGCTAGCTGAATTGGTGGCCGGCATTCCTGTCCTGCGATTCACCCACGCGTGGCGGGTTAGGTTCGAGTCGCATTAGGCCCACCTGACCGGGGTGGCTTGCGGCATGCGGCCGCGCTAAAGGTCGGCTGACGTCAGGCAGTGGGATGGGCCGCGCCCAACATAACGACACGTAAGGCTCTCGCCGCAAATATTTTTGCCGTTGACGCGGAACTTGGTGATCGGATTGTGGGGTCAGGGCCCACGCAACAAGCGCTGCTTCACATGGGCACTGATCCTGTAAACTCAGGCAGACACTGCAAACAAGGGCCGTTTTCGTTTACACCGGCGAGTGATGCTACGTCCAGAACTCTGAGCCACAGGCACTGAGTGACCCTGACCAGTGACCCGACGGCTCGCCTCGGCGCAATGCGTGTGTGTCGACCGGAGTGCTCAGGACAGACAAGCGGGCCGCGACTGACCACAGATGTCCACCGCACAGTCATGTCTCCCCACTGTTGCAAGCGCCAGTGTGCGGAGCCAGACCGCTGGTCGGGCGCCACGTGACCTGGAGCGGAGGACACCCTGCCTCCCCGCCTCCAGCCCCCTGGCGGCAGCGCGATGGCTGACCTCTGACCTCGCCGGCCGGCACCCGCCGCGGGCGGCACGGCCCGGTCCCGGGTCGGGTCCGGCGGTACACCTCTCACGTGCCGGGCCGACCCCACGCGGCGGCCGGTGGCGGCCGGAGGACGCGCACTGGCTGGCCGGCGGCCAGACGCTGACACAGGCGGCGCGTCACACAGAATCCCCCGCACGGCCACGGCCAGACGGTCGGTGGCAGCGCCGCCGGAGCCATTAGCAGGGCGGCCAGCGGGTCAACAAACAGGGCGGGGTCGCGTCCGGCAGGACCGGACCGCGCTCTCTCCCGGGCGTCAGCTGGCGGCCGAGCCGAGCCGCCCGCGCGGCTCCCGCGTCGCCGGTGCCGGCAGCGCGGGAGGTCCGTCCGGGCGGGCCGCGCTAATGAAGGGCGCCGGCTGGTGTCGGCAGAGGCGGCGTGCGCTGACCCGCCCCCCACCCGTCCGACTTTCACCGCGTGTGTGCCGGCCACGCGGGATGGCCGACCACGGCTCGGCTGCCGCCCGGCGTCTCCGCAGGAACTCCGCCGACCGGCCGGCCGGCTGCCGGCGCCGGTCCGGAACGGTGACCCCTCGGGCCGCGGCTCGTGGCACCGAGCCGTGAGCAGGGGAGGGGCGGCGCCCGGCCGTGACGCCCCGGCGGCCAAGGTCGGCCGCGGCCGCCGCCGGCCCGCTCTCCCGGCGCCGTTTCTTTCCGGTGCCGACCACGGCTGCGACGTCCGTCGGAAATAGCGGCACACTAATTCTGGTCACGCTCTCGACGCCTGAGGTGAAGCCGGGCCAGGGCTCGGGCTCGGGCTCGGGCTCGGGCTCAGGTCCGTCTCGCCGGCGACACCAGATGGCTGCGCGGGCAGGAAACGCCAGAGCTGGAGCGCGCGCGGCTGCGGGGACCGGATCAGCAGGTGGAGGGAGCGGAGCGTCGCCGGCCGCCGCCGCCGCCGCCGCAGTCCCGTCCGGCGACCAGGGCCGGCCGTCCGGACGCGGCCGACGCCACCTCTCCGGCGCGCAGCTGGGCGGCAGGTGTCAGCCCCGGGGCCGGCTCCGCCCACAGCAGCGTCTCGGCCGCCGCCTGAGTCACGGACAATGACGGGACGCCGCCGCCGTCGCCGCCGCCGCCAATGTCAGCCCGCCATCGGCGGCGGCGCAGGGCCCAGCGATGACGCGGCCAGAGCCGCCCGTCAGCCAGGCCGCCAGCCAGACGGACGGCGACGGCCCGACGCCCGACCGGGCGGACCGTGGCGTCGGGACGGCCAGCTGCTGCGTAGGCCGGCCACTTGATTCCTAAAAAGGCCGACAAGGTCGAGCGGCCGTGCGCCGGATCGCGGCCCGGTCTGATCCGGTCTGTCCCGGTCGACCGGGGCGGGGCCCGCCACTGGCGCTGCCGAATCGCGCCGGCCGCGCGCGCACCGACAAATATGGTGTGGCCCACCAGCATCTGGCGTCACGCGAGATCTGGGCGAGCAGCGTGGCGGCGACGCAGAGGCCTAGCCTGCCGCTTGGCTCGACCGTGCCTCCGATGCCTGGCTGGTGTGGCGGTCCGGGAACGGCCAGCCGGCCGGGTCGGCGCCGGAGCGCGGCCGGGCCGCCGCCGGCCGGCGCTGGGCGGCGGGGTGCGGCGCCGCCGGCCGCCGGCCGTCACAGGTGCGTGGCTCGGCCCCGGCCCCGCTCCAGACCCACGCGGCCCGGACGCCGACGCGGCCAGTGACGTCACACGGCTCCGGCCGGCGGCAGCGGCACGAGCCTGACCGCCCGGACGGCCGCGCGGTGAGGAGAGCACTGACCGCATCATGCAGCTCGTGTTCGTGTGGCGACAGCATATCATGTCCGCACACCATAGAAGAAACGTCAGCACATCACAGCTGAACCCACAGCGGGCGGGACGCCGCTCGTTGCACATGGCCTGCACAGTCGACACGAAGGTCAAGCGGCGATTATCGGCGCGCACCTAGCGCGGCGGCGCCAACAGCAGCCAATGGCCGGGCGCCGGCCGACGCCATTCTGTCGGCGTGTTCAGGGCAGCCAGACGACTTCCGGGCGAAGCCGCCGCGCTCTGGCTCCGCACAAAGCGGGTGTACCGAGCGTGCCGTGTGAAGGGCGTGCGGAGCGCGCCGCGTATCTGGAGCGCGGCGGGCCGACCACAGCCGGCCGACAGAGCCCGGGGCGGGCCCCGCCCTCTGCGGCAGGAGGATGCCCGCCTGAGCTGGCAGGGTCGCGCACGCCATGACAGCATCGCGTGCCGCCGGTGCTCTGGGCGCCCGACACCCAGCCAGGTGGCGGCGCTGTCCGGTCGGAGCGGCGTCCGGCGCGCTGTGGCACCGGCCCCAGCCCCGGCCCGGCCGACATGAGAGCGGCAAGGTCGGCCGACCGCGCATTCCTCGCCCCCGTCCGGCCCCGCGCGCCAACC